TCAGACCATGTTGATAGGTGGACAATACGACTGGAAGCCGGTGCAAGAAGGCGTTATTATTGCCAGTCAGTCCCTTATCAAATTACAAGATTGTTACCTCCGAGAGAGAGGTTACCATTTCTTATAAACATCCAGATTCACCCAAGACTGCTTAGAAAATCTCTTCTCTCAAATACGACGTAGGAACAAAACCCCTAATGCTCTGTTGGGTAAGGGTATTCTGAGAGAGATTTGTCTATCAGGAAAAACATGCAGACCGCCTCGAGGTCATGGTTATGACTATGATGATGGTGAACTCCTTCTTGAACTACTATCAAACTATGATTCCGAGGCCAACAAAGACAAAGAAAACAGTATTAATGAATCCCATTCTTCAGAGGTCTACTGCCCTTCTGTCACTGATTGTTAAATTTGTGATTTAGGCTATCAATTCTTTAGTCCGTAAGGTAGTAGAGTAAGGTTCTTAGTTGTTAGCTGTTAGCTGTAAGTCTGTCTTCTCAATTTCTCATCACGCAATAGATTTCTCATACTTGTATCCTCTATCCCGGAAACCACTGAAATAAACTCACTTCCGTATTGACCATTACATCGTTTACATCGTTATTGAAGAGCTCCCGAGTGTATCTACCCACTACTCATAAATTCTGAACAATCTAACAGGTTATGGGCCCAGGACTCGTTTAACTGTGTCCCTGTAGTGGTGTGGAAATTGTATTTTTGTGATCGAGTGACTAAAATATCTTTTATCGCTCAAAATCACTTGTACCACTCAAGTGAGGTTATCCTACCTCGTGGAGAGCACAGCTTCAAGACCCTCAAGCTTCAAGATAAAGAAGCAAGAAGATGGCCGGCGACGATGAAGAACCTCAAGCACCAACTGTAGTAGTGCAACATACTTCCAGCAATACTCCACCCTTTTCAAAGCTGAAGGGGAGAGAAAATTGGTCTGATTGGAAGTACTTGATGGAGTTGCATCTTGGCGGCTTAAAGCAAGACGGTAAGACGCTGGACCACTATCTCACGAATGCACCGCTCGCTGAAGAAGAGGACAACGACAAGACGGTGCGAAGAATTTTGAGTTTCTCTCTGGAACCCAGTTTGTTGATCCATGCAAAAACTGCGACAAACTCCAAGGACATATGGACCAACTTGTGCAATGTGTTTGAAGATACTGGTCCCTACCGCAGACTAGCATTGTTGGATAAGATCTCAAGCATCAAGCACGAGAATTTTGGATCATTGAGTGAGTACGTGACTGCCTACAAGGAAGTGCTAGAAGAAATTCGAGCTACCGGCAAGCCCTATGCCGAGGAGAACGGTGCGTACGGTCTCCTTAAGGGTATGCGGCCAGACTATCGGTGGTTGAGACAACTCATAGAGAGAAGCGTGAAGAAAGAAGCAAAAAGCAAGTCAGAGAGTAGAGATTAGTGTGATATTTAACGAAAATGTGTTTCCCTGTCGCCAGCCACCAATCACTGATGGAGAAAACCCAGAAGTGAATCCAGAGGATCCTGTTCAGGTACAAGTTAGGATTCAGACAAATAGGCGTCGAATCGTGTCCGAGTCGGAGAACAGTGGTTCTGACTCCAGGACTTCCAGCGAGAATGAGGAGAGGGACACGACGGATGAGTCTGAAGACCAGGATTCAGAAGACGAGGAGACAGGGGGTGATGGCGACGAGGGTATAGGGAGTAGGTTAAGGAGAAATCCGAAGAAAAAAGACTTTGGCAATGATTTCATGACAGCTTTTGTAGCAAAATCCAAGGACAGCGACGAGCCGGAGACTCGACAGGAAGCCCTGTCAGGTGGAAATTGGAAACAATGGAAAGAAGCCATGGAACTGGAATATGATTCACTTCGTAAGCATAATGTTTTTGAGTTAGTACCTAGGCCCAAAGGCAAAAATGTAGTTAAGACTAAGTGGGTTCATAAAATTAAGAGATTGTCAGATGGGAGTATTGCCAGGTTTAAATCTAGACTTGTTGCTAAAGGATACTCCCAGAAACCTGGATCAGACTACAATGAGGTGTTTTCTCCAGTTGTTAGAACAGAGAATTTGAGACTGGTGATTGCACTCAGCAATGCCCTAGGTTTAGATATGAACCACATTGATATATGTACAGCTTTCCTGAATGGAGACTTGGAAGAAGAAGTTTTCATGGAACAGCCGGAAGGTTTTGAGGAAGGATTTGATTTAGTTTGTAAGCTTAATAAGGCAATCTATGGTCTGAAGCAGGCTTCCAGGGCCTGGAATCATAGACTGCATGCTTTTATGTCTAACTGTGGTTATGTGAGGTCAGGCGGAGACCCATGTGTGTATTTGAAAAATAGTAATAAGAAGGGTGTGTATAATTATGTGTGTATACATGTGGATGACATATTTGTATTTTCTAATGATAAGTCAGAGCAGAATGATTTCAAGAAAAAACTGTCAAGAGAGTTTGAAGTTAGAGATCTAGGAGATCTGAGCTATTTCTTAGGTGTGAGTCTCAAACGAGACAAAACTAATGGTACTGTTAAACTGTGTCAAGAGCAATATGTGGACAAACTTGTAGAAAAGTTTGGTGTGGAGAAGTTGTGTGCTTTCAATACTCCAATGGCATCTGATCTACGTTTGACTAGAAATGAAGGAGATAAGCCAAATGTGCCCTATCAGAACTTGATTGGGTCATTGATGTATCTTAGCACTTGGACGAGACCAGATATTACTCAATCTGTGAATTATCTCAGCCAGTTCAACAATAGTTTTGATATAGAGCACTGGGATAGTGCTGTTAGAGTTTTGAGATATCTGAGAGGCACTAAACGGAAAGGAGTGACCTACTGCAGGGGAAGCACAGAGATTGTTGGGTATTGTGATGCCGACTGGGGCAGCGACATTGTGGATCGGAAATCCTATTCAGGTTATCTTTTCACTTTAGGAGGTGGAGCGATCTCATGGAGATCGAAGAAGCAAAGTACTGTCGCCCAGTCATCATGTTAGTCCGAATATTTATCCCTGTCTTTTGCTTCAAATGAGGCAGTATATTTAAGAAACATGTACAAGCAGCTGTTGTCACTTGATAGTCTATGCATCAGACTGCACTGCGACAACCAAGGAGCAATTTTCTTAGCTAGAACTGACGCTTTTCAGGCTCGAACTAAACAAATTGATATTGCTTGCCATGTTGTAAGGGATCTGGTAACTAAAAATATCATCTCAATTCAGCACTTGGGGACAAAATCCCAAATAGCGGACATTTTCACCAAAGCACTTCCAGGTCCCGACTTCCAAAAATTTGTCAATTCCATGAGTATTGTTTAGGCTACATCAAGGGGGTGTGTTAAATTTGTGATTTAGCCTATCAATTCTTTAGTCCGTAAGGTAGTAGAGTAAGGTTCTTAGTTGTTAGCTGTTAGCTGTAAGTCTGTCTTCTCAATTTCTCATCACGCAATAGATTTCTCATACTTGTATCCTCTATCCCGGAAACCACTGAAATAAACTCACTTCCGTATTGACCATTACATCGTTTACATCGTTATTGAAGAGCTCCCGAGTGTATCTACCCACTACTCATAAATTCTGAACAATCTAACACTGATGAAGACATTTCTGAACTTAAAGATGACTGGGAGCTCATGGTACTCTATGACATGGCAGGAGCTTCACTTCTAAGTACCATGAAGAAGCACAAAATCAAGAGGCAGTGCCGATGTATCCAGGACCTTTCTTGGCAGGACACCTCACATCATCCCTACTCTGCTGCTGTTCTGCAGAAAAACTATAAAGCTGGTGCTTTGCTGGAAGTGACTGATGAAGCCTTCAAAGCTATAGCCATAAGTGTGAAATTACCTTCAAAGGCATAAGGGATCACCTAATGAATCAAAAAGTTGATGTACTGAAGGTGCTTTGTGACAAATGCAAATATGCATGGGAAGATTTCAACTGTCCACCATGTCATAAAAACATTACTGAAAGGTTCATGAAGATGTTTCTTGAATTGAGGTTGAAACAATACAGTCAAAACGAGAAACGAGACCTAGCAAGTTGTGCAGCAAAGTAGAGCAGCAAGACCGTTGCCCAGAAAGAAATGACAAAGAATGTAGTTATATCATGAATTCTTTCAATATTTATTTGTAAGTAGGTGTGTCCTGAAGTATAACTTTATCCTTTCAATGTTAGTATTCTTTCCATATGACTGACTTCTTGCCATCATTTTCTTGAGCACCATTGCTGAGGTGGTATACGCCTAAGGCGTATAGTTTCTAGACACCCAAGATTTGGAGTGTAGACCTCCGTCCGTGTGTGCGTTCCGTGTACAAACCCATGAATCGATCTTGGAATACACTACACTCCGTTATTCATCTGAATGTTATGATTCACCCTTATTCCTCACGAGCCTCGGGACACAAGATAGTTGTTGTAAATGCAAACTGTTGCAGTAACGGCCTGGATTTGTGCACTGTTAGAAATTAGCTCCGAAATTTTATGGAGAAAAACCCTATGATCACGTTTATGGAGACTTTATTCGTATTCCATCTTTTTTCGGAGAAATTTTCTCAGGGCTTAAACAGATGTTCTTCGGAGCATTACTGGGGTCCTGATGGGAGGTAAAATGCATGTCTTTTCTCACACATGTTTAAGAGGTCTTTAGTCTGAAATGGTCAAAGAAGGGACAATCTCCTTCGAGCTCATTTGACTTATATCCTGTAGCTTTCCGTTAATATGAAAATTGAGGTAAACAAGTCGGGGTTTACCTTTCCCTCATTTTTTAACTGGTTGCAAACCTATATTCATGTTCTCGTGATAGTGAAGCATGTATTTTTGTTCAAAATTTCGAAACTTTTCGGAGAAAGACCAGAATTTGCATTTATAGAGAGCTCCATGCAGACGTTTCGGAAAAACTCCATGATTTTTCCATTTTTTTCGGAATTTTCTGACAGTGTGTTGTTTTAGGTATCATCCCTGGCGCTAGCTGATCACGACAAGGTAGACCGATATGTTTTTTTAAATTCCGTAGGTTCCGCCAACGCTGAATGTGACGGTCATCGAGACGGCATTCCCCAAGATGGATTCCAAGTGGCTGCGACACTTCCAAGAGTCCGGTTCGCTGGAGCAGATGGCTATACTGCACAAGTTTGACTTGGACGAGTGTGCCCTAGATCTGTCAGCCCCTGCCTTCCGCCGAATCTTGGACCCATCATTTAAGGCAAGCGGAGCAAAACCAGTTTTCCACGCTTAAAACCCTACGAAGTGTTTTGAGCATACAAAGTACATGTACTTTGCTACACACTTTCATTCCAGGAACGAGACATCACGTTGAAACGAACGTGACAAAATGTCACGTTTGTTTGAGCATTGCGTCACGTTTGTTTGAATGCGAACAAGCTGATTTTTGGCCAATTCACACCCAAACAAATGTGACACAATTCTCAAACGAACGTGACATGTTGTCATGTTCGTTTCAACGTGATGTCACGTGTGCGAAGAAATAGTTCATAAACTACGAAGTATTTTCTTTGTAAGCTTGACCACGCATGCCATCCTGGAGTCACCGACACTTAGTCCAAATACTCCAGAACGCCAGACATTTACACTGTTAAAATAAATCTGAAAATTCAGACCGATTTCGTCAGACTTAGCGGTCTGAATCTGTAAATTAGACTTTATTCTGAAAAATTAGAGTTTTTGTCTTACTTCTTGGACGCTTTGTCTGAAAGCTTGGTTCAGACTCGAAGTGTCTTAATAATTGTTCTCATTCTCAAAATTCAGATGACCTTGCGTCAGACTTTCCAGACCTCAAGAGTCTGAATTTCGGATTTAGACTTCTTTCTGAAATATGTTCAAACATAAGAGAAAATTGGACAACATTCTTCCAACCCAACATTAAGTTAACACACAATCAGTCTTACATTCAATATAATCCGACTCCGTTTCGGGGACTTCAGACAAAACCAAAGTATTTTTCTCTCCGCTAGGTGGCGCCAGTGTCGGTTAAGAGCTTGTTGTTGTTAAAAACGCCTTTTTCTGTTAAATTTTTAATATTTCCATCCCGAAATAGCTATCACTCTATTGGCTATGACGAAAAACACGCTCCCATACCAAATTTATATCGATAGCAAACGCTTGAGTTTAACAATTGACATTTGAAGTTACACTCTAAATAATAATGGCATTTGTACTGCACCGTCGTATGGTAAAAGTACCAACTTCGGTATGGGAAACGACAATCCTATACGTGATTTGGAAAATTCCTATGCTTTTCGTTCTTTTGCCAATGCGGTGTAGTAACAATCCGAACCGAGTATAGGAATTTAATTTCCTATATTCGTGATCGGTTTTTTGCCACACTTTTTAGTAGAAATCCTATTACTTCAGGCCGTTGTATAGTGCTTTTCCTACAACGAATTAGTAAGAATCCCAAACATTTCTGAAAAATCTTTTTTAGGAGAGAGGGGAACAAAATGGATATTCAATATTGATAACAGGCTGCATAAGGACAAAGGCGGCAAAACTGCCCAGAGAAAAGTAAACAAAAGCTCATGTGGTGTCAAACCGTTGTATAGAAATTGGCACTACACGATTGGTTAACACAGTTATTTTGTGTCTTGTTATTATCGCATATGGTTTTAGATTATTTCGACTTCTTCAGTAAAACTTGAAATGGGTCAGTCTCTGAAAATCGCGGCAACTCTGAGAACTATTTATGTAAATGAGCCATGGTTTTAAATCCTTGCGGAATTTTACGTGATATTATCATGAGACTGAAAGTAAACGTAGCGCTCCAAAGCATTCTGACATCGTCTATTAGGTTACCTTGTAAAACGTGAACTGTGGGCAAAGGTATGGCCCACTGTCAGCCGCCTGGCGCCAGGTTTCACAAACCTGCCGCTAGGTGGCGCTTGGAGCGCCGTGCCCGTTCACCAATAAGTATTTCCGATTTATGTTACTTAAGTGAATAATTTTTGACAATTATATCATCTGTTGCCTAAGTAAGTGTCAGCCCTAGCCGTTGGCTTCCAGTTTTGAACAAAATATTACACTATAGTAGAGAAAAACGCATTTCCATGTTGCCACTCGCTGTCGACTGCGGTCGGCCATTAGGTTGGGTGCACGCAAGATCTTCTTCGTCTCCAAGCGATCCATCTCATTTATGAGAGTCTAGGACAGGGTTGAGCTGTTTTTTGAGTTTGAGGTCACATCTGCTGAAGTCCTCACAACTTCATTTTTGACATGCCATCCCGAGAGAAATGGTGCGATGTTCTCCCGAGTGATGTCCAACAATCCACGAAATAAGCATTCCTATACTAGAATAGGAGATTCACCACCTCACGTAACGAAAACATTCCACAATTCGTATGGGATTTTTACCATGCGGTGTAGTATTTTTCCCCACACCCTAATATAGTAGAAACCCAACAACACGTATAGGATTTTTGCCATATCGACATATGGTAAAATTACCATGTCCTGTGTGGGAAAAATCCTATACGGAATAGGTTAAATGCGTCCGATACTTTTATAGGATTTCTACCACAATTTTTTTTAGAGTGTACCTCTCGCGGGTGGCTCCGTGCCGTCGTTTCCTTGGGTGCGTCAGGCCAGCTCCAGGTGAGTGCAGGGAAGAGTCCCGCTTAAGGGACATTTCCCTACAATTTTTTACCTGGACGGTCCCCGGGAGTACGTCTCCTCTTTGAGGTTCGGATGCACACATTATTATATCACCGAGTTATGGGAAAACTGTCCTGCCGCCACTTTCAGACAAGAAAATCTAATAATTGAGAAAATTTTGTCTGAATTTTTTAGACTACGACCTGCCTGAAAGGTTCAGACTTATGAAAGTCTGAAAATTTCAGACCAGGATTTGGTCTGAATTTTCAGTAGGATGTTCTGCATATTTACTTCAGTCAAAATAGTCTGAATTTTCAGCAAAAATTTTTAACAGTGTAATCCAAAATTCAGTTTCTGGTACGTTTTTGCCCAGAATGCAAGGAAAGCTGGATCAGATTCGGCCGCGAGGCGCACGGAGAGCGCCTTGACGGATTCCGAACCGCCTTCCTCCCAGAAGCCTGCACATTCACCCCCAAGTTTCGCGGCAAACCTTCACAATTTGGTGGCAATGGTGCACAGCTTCCGTATTAAAAGTTACTGAAATATAGGGGTTTTCTGGGTTCTCGTAGCCCTGAAACTGGGTTTTGGATGTACTCTTCATGAAGCCCTGCCCGAGGGCAGTCTCGAAACCATTGACCGGACTAATACGTCTACTACAGTCTACAAAGCTTACGCCTGCAGGTTACCGGGTTTTAGCTAAAACACACTACAAAATCCACTGTGTACTTAGTATGCATCTATAGGAGTATACTTGCCAAGTACACATCTATAGGAGTGTACTTGGGCAAGTATACACCCATAGGAGTGTACTTGGACCGCCCATCCGCTTTCACAAGTATACTCCTATAGATGTATACTTGCCCAAGTATACCCTTGCAGATGTGTACTTGGCAAGTATACTCCTATAGATATGTACCTGGCAAGTATACTCCTATAGATGTGTATTTGCCAAGTACACTCCTATAGATGTATACTAAGTACACAGTGCATTTTGTAGTGCAGCCAAACGCAACCCAAAAATAGGTAATTCTGAGAACGTCGAATATGACACGCTACTATATTACGCGTGCTGTAACGAATAGGGTGGCCCTTCCATTAGAGTAGTGCATACACTGTCGGCCCTGTGACAGACTTCACAAGCGTAATCCATACACTGCCAATCCAAGTGTGAGACAGTCTCACACTATTTAGTGTGAACCACGGTGTCTCACGCCTACAAGTGTGAGCCACGTGTGTCCCACGCTTGCAAGTGTGAGACACGGTTTGTCTCACACTTGCAAGCGTGAGACCCGGTTTGTCTAACACTTTCAAGCGTGGGTCCTGTGGCATTAAGCCACCGGGAAGCATAGGCAGTAAGTGTGGGACTAACCATGTCTCACACTTGTTAGTGTGAGACAAATGATGACTCACACTTTCAAGCGTGGGACAAACGTGGCTCACACTTGTAAGCGTGAGACATCGTAGTTCGCACTAATTAGTGTGAGACTGTCTCACACTTGGATTGGCAGTGTAGATTGGATTGCAATTCGAAAGTCTGTTTCTCTCCAGCGCCTGCTTGACTGTCAAACCGTTGCCTCAGGACACGTTCGACCTAATCGTGCTGGACTACGTCAGCGACTGCCAACTGGGTTTGGCGCACCGTTTCGGCTACCCGGGTTTTGTGGTTGTGTCGCCGTTCCCCGGTTCGCCCTGGCTCTACGACCTGATGGGCAACCCGGCCGTCCCGGCGGTGGTCTGCAACACCCTGGTGCCCTTCCCGCACCCCATGAGCCTGTGGCAGCGCGCGGCCACGGCCGGGCTCAGCGCCTACATGAAGCTGCTCGAGTGGTACTTCCGCGGGGAGGTGGACGAGGTGCTGCGAACGCACTACGGCCAGGACGTGCCGAGCGCAGCGGAGCTGCGGAGGCACGTCCACATCGCCCTGGTCAACGACATCCCCGTCCTGGACACGCCGCAGGCCTACGTGCCCTCCGTCGTCCCGGTCGGCGGCATGCACGTGCGGCCCGCCAACCTCAGCAACATCCCGCCGGTGAGTTCACACGGCTAAACCGCGGGTACTGACTTTTCCCGGGTAACCGATGGTAACACCCAAAACCCATGGGTGGTAAAATTACCACTTTTGAGAGCTGCACTACAAAATCAAATGTGTGCTTAGTACACAGCTGTGGGAGTATACTTGCAAGTACACATCTATACTCTACAAACTGAAGTGTGCACTGTAAAAAAAATTCTGAAATTTCAGTACAATTTGTTCAGACTTTGCAGTCTGAATCGGTAATTCAGAAAGTTGCTTTGAATTTTCAGACTAGGAACTCTGAAGTTTGAGATCACACCGGTTAGTCTGAATTTTAAGCAGAAGGTCTGAAAATTCTGATAAAGTTTTCAGACTTGTCATCCTGAAACCTGTTTTCATAATTTTGGTATGAAAATTTTGACAGATTGTCTACTAATCAAGTCTAGGCGTAAGGCGTTGTATAAATTTATCGGAAATAATAATGTACACCCGTGCTTCACGCAGATTCGTCTGTGTACGATAGATTAACCGTAAGAGTTGTCCGAACTTGCATTCTGGACTTGCCGAAAGGAGCTGGTATCCTCTGAAGAGAGTCACGCGGCACGGCTTCCCCGGCCGCCAGGCAGCGCCCGTAGCGCAGTGGTACTGAGCTCGTCTCGTAACCAAAAAGTCCCGGTTCGAACCCGGGCCGAAGCGAACAAATGAAAAGTGGAAAGGAGGTACCGTCACACGTTGGTGGTTCATATTGTTCTCTTGTTGATTTCTTTCTCTTTGATTTATAGATGGCACTTTTATTTAATATTTCAGAGTAGCAGTCTGAAAATATTTTTCAGACAAGTAGTCTGAATTTGGAATTTAGACAGAATGGTCTGAATAATTACTCTGAATTTTCAGACCACTAGTCTGTTTAAAAACTTCAGACTAAAATTATGAAATTTCAGTAATACTTTTTTTACAGTGTGTACTCAGAATGTATCTACAGATGCATACTTAAGGGGGCAATACACTGAAAATGGCCAAAAACTGACTTGTGCGATTGCTTCCATACGCGTCGTTGAGCATTGTCCAATCTTTTCATGTGTCAAGACCTTACAAAATGAAGCATTTTAAGCCCAGAATGGCGTCGATCGGACGTCAGGGAGCGGAGCAGCGCCCAATCAAATTTTCGTCAAAAGTTGAACTGGCGGGCGTCCCTCAGTCCGCAAAAATGAAGATATCTCGACCCCGTTTGCGCCAAAATGTAGGTAATTGAAGCGGCTATAGCGCAAACTAGGATTATGTGCATCGAGCAACCGAAAGTACAAAATTTCATCCAAAAACAGTTTTTGAGGATTTTGCAAAAATGATCAAAACAGGTTTTTTCGTGAAATTTTGTACTTTTGCTTGTTCGATGTTCATAATCCTAGTTTGCGCTATAGCCGCTTCAATTACCTACATTTTGGCGCAAACGGGGTCGAGATATCTTCATTTTTGCGGACTGAGGGACGCCCGCCAGTTCAACTTTTGACGAAAATTTGATTGGGCGCTGCTCCGCTCCCTGACGTCCGATCGATGCCATTCTGGGCTTAAAATGCTTCTTTTTGTAAGGTTTTGACACATGAAAAGTTTGAACAACGCTGAACAACGCGTTTGGAAGCAATCACACAACTCAGTTTTTGGCCATTTTCAGTGTATTGCCCCCTTAAAAGTACACCCCTACAGATGCATACCTGTTAAGTATGCATCTGTGGGTGCATACTTGGCAAGTATGCGTTAGTAGGTGACCATATAAATGCCCAGTATCAAGTACTATGAGTTGCAAAAGAATCGGACCCGGCCGGCCGGGCTCGGCGATACCCCGCGCTCAGGCTGGTGCTGAAGACGCGCGGACAGGTAGGAAGATGATCGGTCGCCGGGCCGCCTTGTTGCCAAACTATAACTGCAAGTGCACAATAGCTTTATGAGTGAATGACACCTCGACCCGACCCCTGGTCTGGGCGCCGCAGAGCAGCCGAGCATCTCTGCTCACCCGGCCGGGCGGGTGCGATTTTCACAAGTTCATTTTCGTGTAAAAATTACTAATTTTGACAACGCTACCAGAATGCGTTTCAAGATGAGCTGATTATTTTATTATAAGGTGTTCAATTAACTTATTCTTTATTTTTTCTTTATTTTATTTATTATATTCTTTATTCTCTATTATAGCCATATGTTGAAATTTTGTTCTACGCCAATTTTAACCGATATTTTAGGCCAAATCCGGTTGCCTCCAGCCCGCTCCGGGCCCAGGCGGCCCAGGCCAGGCCTTTTGCACTCTGGTGCATGCTGCCCCCTGCCCTCCCCCTCTCGGCACGTGCAGTTTATAGTTTGACAACAGCGCAGCCCTGCGTCGGTCCATCTGCCGAGAAGCCCGCCCGTCTTCGGCAGACGTCTGGGCGCGGGGTAGCGCCGGGCCCGGCCGGCCGAGTATGCATCTGTAGATGTGTACTCAGCTAGGTATGCATCTGTAGGTGTGTACTTATAAGTATGCATCTGTAGATTCATACTGAGTACACACTTCAGTTTGTAGGGTAGGTGTGTACTTGAGAAGCATACATCTATAGATGTGTACTTGGGCAAGCATGCATCAATAGGAGTGTGCTGTCAAATGGGTGACATGTATGTGTGCTTGTCCAAGTGCGCAGCTATAGATGTGTACTTGCAAGTACACTCCCACACCCACAGCTGTATGCTAAGCACTCATTTGATTTTGTATTGTGTAATATTGCTACGGGCGTTATATTGCAGTGTGTTCACAATCTAGAGGGACCTGACTCGTCCAAACATGAAGGATCATGATTTATAAAATATCATCTAACTCTACAGGGCTTGGCAGACTGGTTGGACGAAGCCGAGAACGGCTTCGTGCTCATGTCTTTCGGGTCCGTCTTGAAAGGCTCAAATTTAGAGAGCGAGACGATACGCGCTTTCGTGGAGGCCTTTCAAGAACTAAGTGACGTGCGTATTCTCTGGAAAATGGAACCGGAAGTGGTGGGCAAAGCGTCTCTGCCTTCCAACGTCCGCATTGAGAAGTGGATGCCTCAAAGCGATATCCTAGGTGAGTAGGGAACTGTCTGAGGAACCAGGACAGATTGATGTTGAAGGTGGGATAGACGTAAAATATACTGTGCTCTAGAGGTCGCAGGCTGGCTGGTATTGCCGCCGGCAACTTAACCTCACGGCAGTTCAAGATCATTTAGTTAGGGTTTCCCTAAACGTTACTTCATCAAAATCAATTCATCCTGCTCCAAATACTTTTCAGCGATCGCGTATTTTTGGCTTTTCAAGCCCCGAAAAGGTTGGGAACCGTTGGGCTTCACGCGCTATTGTCCCATTCTTCTAGGCACAGCTTACCTTTAAAAGTTATGGAGCTTGACGTCCAGAAATAATTTCTGGATGAATTATTCGTGCAAGATATTTGAAACTGAGGGGGTATGCACTCGCGTAATAGTCGTCGGGGTACTCTGTAATGGCACGCATAATAGTCCGCGTAATGGTCGAAATGATGCTACATGTACATATTTTTGGAGTGTTTTGGGCTGTTTTTAGGTAAATTACGATGTTTCGACTCTTAAGAGGCGTAATAGAGCGAAATAGCAGTCGGGTTGCAGGTTGCCCCCTCGTTTAAAACACAGGTCATTCGTCGCGCTTTTCTGTCTTGAGCGGCTTACAACATGCAATAGGGTACTTACGGGGATCGTGAAATGGAAGTCAACCGATCTCGGGGGTGGAATTCGAAGATAAAGGATCAAACTAAAATATTCCGTCATAAAAAGTTTGTGTATAGGACAACCCTAGCAGCAGCTACAAAAACGTGAAAATGCATGTTGTGGGCAGAAAACTGCCCCTATTTGTTCTTTCCACAGGACTGCGGTGGAAAAGCAGCGAGCTCCAGTGTGAGGTAGGCCACTTCTGAGGCGCTGGCACTCATGTGGAAGCAGCGCACCTTAGCCCAGCGCCAACACACAGGCAGCGAAACACGGACCTGCCTCCGTAACGCCTGCGAACTGGAGGGTAGGCACGCCCGCCATACGCCGCTGCGTGGCTGGCTGCCTACCCTCCGTGCTCGCAGGCGCTCGCTCCATCTCACCATGGTCTCCCCATTCAGTTCACACTCGTGGCAATGTTCAGCCATGGTGTCCTCGCAAAATCGTCGCGTTCAACTCCTCCCGTAGAGAATTTGGTTAATTTTAAGATTCTACCGATGGAAAAGCATCGTTTTCATCGCTCCTGGTCATTCCCTCCGAAGTACCAACCCAATGCCAATACATTGCTCACTTTGTTTTATTTACTACCTGGCATTCATGAAGAGAGTTTTGAAGCAATGGCACTGAAATTAATGATGAAGGTAAAAAAGCAACTGTGTTAGAAGTGGTGAAGCAAGCAGAAAAGCGTAAATGCAATGTTCTTAGCCTTGTCTGTGATATGGGAAACCGTGGATTATTAAATTCACTTGGTTTTTGCACTAAAATGCACAAATTGAAATGGTGCATTCCGAATCCCGTCAACCCTGAGAAGAAATTGTAGTGCATGCCTGATCCTGTTCATGTTTACAAGTAGTTGAAGGAAATGCTGTGCTGCAATGGCTTCTTAACTCTTCCCGAAGATAGAGTGAAGGAGAATGGGTTGTCATCAAGGGAAGTCTCTCTGGAGCATATCCAGTGGCTGGAAAAGTTTCAAAGAGATGAAGATTTGCAGTTGATCCCTGCTCTCACTATCAAGGATCTGGATACCTCCCACTTTTCCAAAATGAATGTGAAGTCTTTTTATGGTACTTGGACATGCTACAGGATGTGCTCTTCGTACCGAGTTATGAGAAGTTTAGTTCCCAAAGAATTTGAAACAACTGCCTGGTTTATTTTAGCTGATGGTAAGGTGGTTTCAACTGATGACTTCACATACTTTGGTTTGCCTTTGGTTTCAAGGACATTAAGAGGCTGTTGAACACCTGAAGTTAGTTATAAGAATCTTTTCCGGCAGCTCTGTCCCAGGTGGGTGGAAATCTGTACAGTCCCACATCATTTTTGCTTCTCGTGAGAACTTGAACTTCAAGAGCATTTATTAAAGGAGAGGAAGTAGAAATTTGTTCGTATGGTAAATTTCTCTTCTGATGTGATGGAGAATGTATTTTCTGTGATCAGATTAAGGAAATCAAATCCAACCCCTCTGGAGTTCAAGCACCGATACAAACATATGGTTCTTTCACAGTACACACAACGTACTCGCAACTCATCCTATGATTATGATGAAGTTCCGTGTCTCCTTGATAACATTTTAGATACAGCAAAAAATGTGACCATGAGCCGTTTGTTGCTGCAGACTTTACGTGGACTGATAAGGTTACACCTGGATCAAGGCCAACACGCTAAAAGCGGAACCTGGTTTTCCTAGGAAGCCAATGGTAAAGGTACATAGGCGATTTCCAGGAGGTTCCTGGGAAAACCAGGAACCGTTTTTACCGTGAATTCATCAGGACAACATTTTGTACAGAGTGTGTGGCTACATTGTTCACTCCATGAAAAGACGGAAGATGTTGCAATGCGAACAATGTATCGCTCAGCTGAGTCACAATGGGAGCCAGCCGCACCCTCATTCGGTAGTGGTTATATTGATGGATTTCAAAGAAGGAGCACAGGTCAGAGTGAGTGGATGCGGTATTCCGACTCCTGAGAGTTGTGGAGTACAACATTCAGAAATGGATGCCACGACTCCTGGAGACCCGTATCCCTCTCTGCCTTGTGCTTGAAGAAATTTTAATCCCGAGGCTTGCTTCCATTAATCTTCATACTTGCCATGATGTGAAAGACAAACTTCTGTCTACTTTCACATTCATGAGATTCAAGCAGATAGCGTTCCACAAGCTCTCGCCTCTGAACAGCAATTCTGGCTCATCTCTCTGTTGGCACTTCGGCGGCGCCAACTACAAAATGCACAAATTTTTCTTTAAATTTCGTTTAAAATCAAGCGGCGCGTTCGACCAGTGTGGGCGCGTGGCGCGCGGCGCGGCCGGGGCGACGAGGCCCCGCCTGCCTTGCAGTGTGCACGACGGCGGCCTCGCGGCGCGCGCGGAGTGGGGGTACGTCGGTCACCTCGCCGACCCGAGGGTGACCCGAAGGACTGCCGAAGGGCTGGCGCCGGGCCGGTCCGGAGTCCAGCAGCCCGCTCCGGCGACGCGCTGTCCGAAAGCCTACAACTCGGCCACTCTCATCCCCGTCGTCAAGAAGACTAGTTCTTGTGTGAGAAGACCCAAGAGAGAGAGAGAGAGAGAGAGAGAGAGAGAGAGAGAGAGAGAGAGAGAGAGGGCCACCCCACGTTGCTGTAAAAAATCTGAAATTGGTAAGAATACACTTATTTCCCTATTCACTGTTCATTTCTGTCTCCATCATTACCCTCTCCGTGCACAAAGATCAATCAATAATCGAACCTACATACTTTGGAGATTAGCGGGATTCCCGTCGGTAAGCCAGTCAGGGCTACCCTTGCACATTGAAGCTAATTTCTTTCATCAGTATTAGTACAGAATTTAACCCGCTAACATTGGCGCAGTCGGTTTGGACAGCCAATTTATCTTTTTTTAAAAAAAGCTGTGATTTAGTAATTTTAAGCGTTATCTTTGTGCACGTGTGGGTGTGACCACGTGTTCTGCCCTTTTTAAGGTTTTTTTTTTTGTGAGTGTCCTTTATTTTGTGTTCTGTGCGAATTTACGCCGCATTTACCGTGAAAAAAGAATATCTGGATCATGGCGATGGCGTCAGAAAATGATATGGCTGAGACGGAGTTGGTCATTAAAGACCCGCACGAGATGGAGGAGCAATTGGAAAGAGCCCTTCTTTTGGCGTCGGAAGAGCAGTGTGAGCAGGAATACCGTGACATCTGGTTTGGACACGAGGATTCCGCTGAACTGACAGGGTTCACGTCGTGGAGGAATTGGGTCGGCAACCTCGAGGTGCCGGACACTCGTATGGCAAAGAAATTGTTAGCTTTTCGCACGGGGAGGAGGGTGCGAATAGATTTTACGGATGCGGAGTCCACAAGATTCTGGTCAAAACGACAACACCAGTGCTACGTGGAACGGGAAGGGAAAATGAGGGAGGAGCTAGAGAGCACGCAGCATAGGCTTGCTTCTCAAGATGCAGAGTGAGTTCAAACGCATGTCCGTGCAACTCACGGCTATGCAAACTGAGCTGGCGTCCCTACGCCAGCCGCACGTGGCAGAGTTGAACAGGACCAGTGTAGGCCTGGAGTCCGGGGCGCGCGATGAGACGGGCGTAACGGGGACCACCCTCGTGCCTGCTTACGCGCGGCCTGGGACCGTGTCTGCGCTGGCAGCCGCGGCAGGGCAGGGCGCGTCGGTCCAGCATGCAGTTCCCCAATCAGAGGGCTGCGGTAATGAATGTGTTGACGAGTCGTGTGATGAGACAGGACGCTGACATGAAAGGATACCAGACGGGAAACATTTTCACAGCGGACGGACTGGAGAGACTGTCGGAGTCATTGCTCGGGAAGGTTGGCCGACTTTTGCACAAGTTTGGCGATGTGTGTTCAATCTTGATCGGCGCAGCCTGCCTGGGCTACTCCATCAAGCTCATCCTGGACATAACTTTCTATGGACGCCTGTGGTATGGAGTTTTTGGGTGTGGATTCTCCATGCTGGCCGGTATGTGTACCGGGCTAGCGGGGACCATGCTCCATAAACAGCATACACGACAGTGGCAAGGACAGGGACAAGCGCCGAGCCAGGAGGAGCGCCCGGCCAAACCGAAGAGGCCGCGGCGCCGTGCGCCCAGGACAAGGATGGGGATGACCATGGCAGCGCTCCCCGCGCCGGCGCCGAGCAGCAGGTGTGACGAGACCGGGTCCGGATCGGAATTAGAGAGCGTGGTGGTTCATCATCAGGGCGCGGCGGGGGCGCGCGAGCCGGATTTCGTGGAGGAGGGCAGTTTGGAATCCGAATTCGTCACTTCGATCCGGCGGATGAAGAGCCAGGTGGGCACACACACCGGGCGGCCATGAGGATGGCGTGTAAATAATGTGAAGTACGGGTGTGTGAGACAGAAA